AAATCCAGGCATCCAAAAAAAAAAAAGGAAGCCGGGTGTGGTAGTGCATGCCTGTACTCCCAGCACTTGGGAGGCTGAGGCAGGAGAATCGTTGCAAGGTCGAGACCAGCCTAGACTGCAAAGTGAGCTCAAGGCCAGCCTGAACTGCATAGTGAGACCCTGTCTCAAAAAGGCCAAAAAAAAAAAAAAAAAAAAAAAGAAAAAAAAAAAAAAGAAATCCAGGCATTTAGTCACAAGAACATGGAAAACTAGTTCAGATGGTGCAGCATAAATCCATGAGAACTGCTAAAAAGAGCAACATCAAAAACAGATGCCTCACTCACTAAGTATTGAATTGTAAGTATCTTAGAATCCATGCAGATGATAGAATATATTATGGTTATCAGGTCTATATGATCATTATAAGGAAGATCTATGTATAAGAGCAGTGTTTATTTTGGCCTTACACTGAACCTGTTCATAAGGAAATCAGCAGTGGTATCCTAATGTTAGAATTCAGATTTGTCTAATGAAACTTCTTGTTAAATTTTTGCTTGAAAGCCATTGGGTTCAGGAAGGGTTCTTTTCTTTTCTTAAAAAATATTAGTTAGTGCCTAATGTAGAGTCAGACAGACCTTGCCTATCTCAAATTTAGACATTCCTCAATGAAAAATATCAACTATTACAAAGTTATATACAATATAAAAGATATCTCTCTTTAATGACTAAAGATCCTTTAAGCCTAAGCCTCTTCAGTGGAGACTTTTCTCTCATCTAAAATCTTTGCATCTAAGAGGCGGGCTAGAAAATGAGTATTTTTTGAAGGAGTGATCAAAATATACAGTGAATGTTTAAATTTTTTAAAAATTTACATTGTCAATAATCCCCCTCAAAATACCTCCCCACTTCAAAACACACCCATCCCATCATTCTGGCCATTTTCTGAAGGAACTCTGAAAGTCCTCTGTTGTGTCTTTCTGATGTGATCAAAAACATGGTGAATGCTGCTGCTGGGCACTATCCAACAGAAAAGCAGGACTGTAAAAAATTACCACGCGTCCTCACCTGCTTACCCACTGGACCTGGCATTGTGTGACTTCTGGCGCTTCTCCCAACTCAAACTTACGGCATGAAAGGTAAGTGTGTGAGTCAATTCAGGACATCAAGGCAGTCAGGACTACACAGCTGACGACACGAAGAAGAACTTGCAGCACTGCTGCAGAAAGTGGCAAGAAGAAGTAAGTGAGTCTGAAGCAAAGGGGCTGTTTTGAGGGGGAATTAATGACAAAATGTCATTAACTGTGGAACTTTTTTTAACGTAGGCATTCAATAGTTTTCAATCACATATGTATATGAGAGACAAAATGGGGCAAAGTTGTCCCTGGAAAAACAAGAATTTCAGAGAGAAAGAGAGAGAAAGAAAGGGAGGGAGATTCGGGGGAGGAAAATATCTTCTTAAGCAGATATCCTGGATACTGAGAATCAGGTAAACATTAACGAATTCTTTGGACTCCATAGATACAATCACCCATGAAAGCCATTAGTTTTAGCATTTTGTTAAGTGATGTATAGTATAAAAGTGATACCAGATAATAAGGATAAATTTTAAACTTATACAACTTTTTTATGTATATTTAGTTGAAAATGATTTTTTTACATTGCAGATCAATATATATTTATTGCGGAAAAAGTAAAACATAATAGATACAAATGTAAACAATGTGTACCTCCGGGAAGATCAGATGTTCACTGGATAATTTTTTTCCTGTTTCTACCAAGCTGTTCATTAACTGAATCAAACAGAACACACCGTGTCACAGGCTGCTTAATTTGTCAGGAACATCTTCCCATGGCCTTAAACAGACATCTCACATAGAATATCCTCAGTATTGCTTCCTTTTAGTCTTCTGCTACTGTTGCTGGACATTTAATTGAGACTGTGTTTTTACATGTATAATCAGCATGAAGCAGAACATTCTTGGATCTAATTTTTATTCACATTTATGATTATTTCCTGAGGATAAAGGTGTAGAAGTAAAATTTCCCATTCAAAGAATTTGTATCAAGGCTTTTACCATCCAGGTCCAACTGCCCTGCAAAATGACTAATGCAAATGTCGGCAGCATATGCTATGGACAATTTCCCACATACCGGAGCACTTTTAAAGGTTTGACCAACTGAACATGGTGAAAGAAACCTCCCTGTATATTTTATTTGCATTTTTCTGCAGTAGAACATGAAATGAACACTTTGGTTACTGGACTGATAATTTACTGGAAGCAGATAACACATTATTTCCTCTACTAGTCCTCAATCCTAAAGCTAATTTAACTTCCTCTACATGTTGCTAAAACAAATATCAAATTTAAAATTTCATTAATCAAGTGTGTGTATGCATTGTAGAAACTCCTAAGTGTCTGTCACAGTTTAGATGAAATACCTGGGTAATGGAATGAATTGTTCACTTTCCACATAAATGTTCTGATGTTGCTTGGCTTTAACCACAGATGTGTTTCAAAATACTTAACTGGTATTAAAGTCATTTTTCCCATCTTCAAAATTTCCTTGTATTTCAAACTTATGGCATGAAAACCCATATGACTTTGGTGAGTAAAATTAATCATATTTACATAATATTTTAAGACAAGTTGCAGTTTGGTACTGTGTAGATTCTTCCCCATTGCCAGCCTCACCCATGAGAAAAAAACCTAAGATTCCCCCTAGCTACCTGGGGTAAATCACCCAGAAACTGTTGAGTATGACAGAAAAATAAATGCTACTCGTTTCACCTTTGTGTTCCCTAGCCTTGACAAGACATGGCGCTGAGACTGCACAATATGCCACTCTATTCTGTACTCAGCAGTCATATGTGCAATGTCTGCAAGCATGTACTGCTACAAACCAGTAAGAGACTGAACTGAAGCCTATCTTTCAAATTTCCATTCTTCAAAGCAAAACATAAACATATATATGAATAGCTGTGATGACTATACTGCTGTTGTCTGATGGTGTACTGAAATGAACAGTTAATGCTCACAATTTTTTATGTTCTGATTGACTATGCATGCTTGTATCTGGTGGTCGGAGCAACTGATTTGAAGGTAACAATATGCAAAGGAATTACAATGGTGAACTCCTAGCATCTTGTCTAGTAAAACTCTGTATTATCTCTAAGGTTTTATGGAAGAATTATTTTCTTATTCTCTTCAATGGTATGAGCAATCTTTCATTCTTACATCTGATAATCTGAGCAATGTAGTTGAGGATAGCAATATGCAATGTAACAACCACTGCTGATCTGTATTAATTTGTCTTGAGACCCTGTATCACTTTGAACGTTCTTGCTTTGATTTGTTTATGTTTGCAATATTGGTATGCTGCTACTGTTCTATTTTTTTGTTTGTTTCTCATGTACTACTCTCTTTAATATAAAAAAAGTTTAAAAACAAACGAACAAATTTCTATTCTACAGGATATAAATTCATATGGAGAAAAAAGAAAAGAGCTCTTGGTATTTTCTGACTCTCTTATAGTTACCCAATGTTTTTAGCTAGCAGGGTGCAATTTAATCCACCTTGTAGCTGTTCTGATGACTTTAAAAAAGCTTGAGTCAAAAAATCCCTTTTTAAAAATACAGAATTAATACTGAGCTCATTTGACAAGTGGTCAACTACTAATGAACGGATTTGAATGAAAAGAAAAGGAGATAAAAATGCAAGGCCAGTCATTGACTTAAGACTGATTTCACAGTATTCTAAATTTAATTTTCCATCAAGTATCTATGAAGAGGGACATGCAGGGAGAAAGAGAAAATTTCCCTGTAGAACAGCAGCAGCCGTGGTGAACCTGTCTGCCAAATGGGGTATTAGACCACTCGACCTTCCGGTCATGAACTTCAGTGGATCCAAACAAAATGTCATGTTTTAACCACAAAGCAATAGAATTGTTGCAGGGCCTGGACTTACCCTATTTCAGAAGTAGAATTTTTTTAAAAGAAAGAACAAAATTGAGGGGGAAAAAGAGCTGAAAGGGGTATGCCCACGTTATAACAGGCAATGAGAAGAACCAAAGTAGCTTCTCAACTTAAAACAGTTACTTTTTGTAAAGTGTTTTTTGATCACATTCTTCTTGAAAATAGCCATGTAGGTAATTTCAGAACAAACAAACGTCAAGAATATGATTTTTAATTATAATGACAATGATTTTCATAGTAGAGCCATTTCACCAACTAATGACCAGAAGAATTTATTACTTACCACTTATCCTCTGGAGTATATTCTCCAGTTTTACCACAGAAATGAAATGCACACAAGCATTTTATTCTCTTTCCATTCATATTATACAAACAATATATAAAAGGTAACATACAAAGATGCTCATGTGCTAAGGAATAAAATGCCCCATAAAAATAGATTGCAATTTTCTTTTTCTGCAAGACAGTATTTTAAATAGTAACTCCGAAGATCAATAGGCTGCAATATTACAATGTTCTTGTATGACACAGTTTGAGTCTATGAACTTCCAACAGAAATACATAGGGTTCATACTGCAGTGGATATCATTCATCGTATCCGCTTTTCAAAATGCATAATGTCAAACTACTTAAATAGACAAATTTTGTTGTAAGGTATCAACAGTGTTACAGTGATTACTACATACTATGGAAAATATTCTTTTAAATATTGTGTTACATTTTAATGTTTCAACGATCACAGAGATATGGTGATATTGGTATTTGAAGTCTTTATATTTCCAGCAGCCTCAAGACACCAAGTCTTACTTAAAAAGTGAGCTTAGGCACATTGCTTAGCTTTTCTTTTAAAAAAGAAATCTTTAATTTATGTGACAACTCTAAATAAATGGGGATTTATCTTTTATTTGCTTTCGTGACCCTATGAGAAATTACTCTTTCAAACTGTAAAACATACTACACTGCCCACTACTATTTATTTCTATTTGCCATCCGGCAATCCAGTATCAAAGGGCAATTTTCTCCACCCTTTCTGGTTATCGGAACTTACCTGCCCTGCCGCTTGCCAGGTAAAATTCATGGAATGGATATTGACGGGAATAGCCGGCATTCTCTGCTGCGCTTTTCTGAAATCATGTGTGAAGGGGGCCATTTTCCCCTCGGAAACAATCAGGATATCTTCTTCAAATCCTGTTTGAAAAATAATAAACAGAACCATGAAGCCAGGCAGAGCGCAAAGAATCCAAGCCAGAAGTATCATGCAAAAGAAAACCAGAGAGCAGTACGGGTCACTGCTTTGCACAAAGCACCTGTCTTTGGTACCCACACCGCTACCGAGATTACTTTTCCTCCCGATGCAGCTAGAAGGATGCTAACGGCACACACTTTCAGGGGAAGGGACGGGCGTACGTTAACTATGCAAAGAAAAAAAAATCTTAAATGCACCCAAAAACGGAGGGCGGCAACAAGCAGCAAGAGAGGTTTATAAAGTTTCAGATGGAAGCTATCCAACCCAAAGCGGGGAGCGGCTGCCTTCGGAAGCGCAGCTCCGAAACGCGCTGGACGCGCGCAGCCCGGGTTAGGGACCCGCGGACGCACGCACGCACGCACGCACGCAGGCGCCGCGCCGGCCTCACCGATGAGCACCCGGGCCTGGCGTGCGTCGACCCACAGGTACAGGCCGTCCTCGGGCGGCCCCGGCTCGGCCCGCAGCG